ATTGGAAAATATTGATAAGTTCTAGGCCATCTTCAGCGAGCGTGCTCACTAACTGACTTTAATTAAGTGTCATATTAGAAAAGGTTGTTCAAAGCATTAAACACATATATCTACAGGCATTTTTTGACCAATTAGGTCTCGCGTTTAGGAAAGTCTACTATTACTTCCCAATCCGACGTTTTATTACAAATACTCCTTATATTCGCCATTCAGGTGAGTTTTTTAAAAACATGTACGTGTGTGCATCAGGCAGCAAAAACAGAGCCGCTCTAAACGGGCAGCTGCCAAAGGACACTGAAGAACCATAACATATTCATAACGGTCTCCAAGCCACTCTGAGGCCTATTGGCCTTTATCATCGGTAGAAATCGCAGAGCCATTAAGTTGCAAATAAGTACAATTTATAAAACAGTTGTTCTGTGTCCGTGACTTTGTCTAACTTTATCCCGATTTTTTAATCACAAACCGGTCTCTCGAAATGAAGGACCTTTTCGTGTGACGGCCAGAACGGCAAAATCAGAGAAGATTTTTCTTTTACTTCTTGACTTCACTTTGCAACACACTATATCAGAAAATATTTAACGTTCACTCCACAAAGTTTTAAAACAGGTAAGCAGACATTAGGTAGTTGAAAACCTACATTACGTAATATCAAACCAACAAATAAATTACATTCTGTCGAAAACTACGTGAAACACTACCTCTAGAGTCTGCCGACACCATTCATGTAATTATGAAAGACAAAGGTACTTTTTAGCATTCCTCGTTTAAGTACAGAAGTCGTTTTTCCTAGCGAATACAATTTTTCCGCATACATTTTTTTGGTTTAGCTTTGTGCGTTTTTGTTTATACTTTTGTTTCAGGCAACGCATAACTAGAGACGTTTGGTTACTTTGCGCTCATTTTATTGGTTAAATAACTGTTGCGCATTAACGGTGTTTTAGAACTGTAACAATAAAACTTTTTGGTCGCGTTTGAATTAACAACTGTAGGTGTAGACCGGTATCTAAAAACCCGGTCATCACAGTCTGCATTATCTTTGTCTTCATTCCTTTCTTTAATATGAGGCCCATGACGCAAGTGGGTATAAAACTTTTTCCAATTCGACCAATGAACTTACTTCTTACTATAAGTTATATGCTCCATCGTGGCGAACAAAAGCCGTGGCTGTGGTTCTTTAACACAAGCGCTCTGTGATAAAACAACCGGGGTTCAAATACTTTGTTTTCCAAATGTTATGCAAATATGGCCATCTAATCCATATCTTAATTATGTCATTAAAGTAACGGAAAAAGGAAGATGAATATCATAGCATTTTAGTAGATGACAAAATAGGCAGAAACATGTTATCATATGTAAAATGGATGTTCGGCTGAAGTGCTTGATAATTCGATGTTAAAGATTTAGAGGAAAATGTTCATGTATATGAACAGTTAATCTACCTTTTGCTGCCTATTCCAAAGCTACATATGATTCATGTAACTGTAATTTTCGCAAAACTTTTCATAATACATTTTTAGGACACTTATATTGCCGAAAATAGCGATCTTGTAACCGTCAATCAACCGCTGTTGTTTGTTATTATTTTCTTTATAACATGCCTCGGAAACTTTAAAAACTTAATCATACGTGGTCAATCTATTCTCAGAGGTTAAATAAAATTCTAAAAATCTTCCCAATAACACCATCTGTGTTTGTGATAGCAACCAGTTCTTGTGAAGAGAACAATACCACTTCGCCAATGGGTTCGTTTATACCGTAAAATCCACAGTCCTTGGTGCTATATTATTTTTTACTCAATCCCCTGTAATGGCCACTATGAGGTATTATCAAAAGTTCATTTTTAAGACATCAGCATTTGCACTATGCAGATTACTTATATTTGGGAAAGGGTACGGGAATAAATGCCGTTTTGCATGTGTTTTTGATGTTAATTTCAAAAACTTCGATTAGGGTTGGAGTTAGGCTTGTGGTAATGATTAGTCGTGTTCGATTTTATTCTGGTGAGTTGGAATAAAGATTAGAGTTGACGTTAGGACGCGAAAAAAGATGTGCTAAAAACGTGGTTTTATTTCACCTCCAACACGGGAGTTGCGTGTTTCCTTGTGCAGCCCCTCAAGTTTTAAGTGATTTCGGGGTTGCCCATT